TTAGCTATGAACATACAATTGATTATATATATATATCTCGAGTAAGAAGGGATGAGAAAATGCATTGATATCCTCCCCTCTGCTTTAATGGCTGCAGAATGAGATAAATACCTATGGAGATGTATCCAAGATTACATGCAGACCTGGATGTTTTCTAGCTCAAGTGCCTTGTATATTGGTCTTGCAATGAGCTTCATGCTGTGCCTCTAAGGTAGGGATAGTGCCTTTCCCAGCCCTGCAGGGTGAGCAGGTTACTGAACCAAACACTTCAATCACATTAAGACTGCATTTAACCCTTTGCCATAATATCAGATATCATCAGATTCTTAAATTTGTACCTGATTTCTAAAGATCTCCTTTCCATGGACTAGTTGGATGTCAGTCCTAGCTGCCTTTGGCTGGGCATGCAATCACTATAGAGCAGGGCCACTTCTGGGCTTATTATTTTTTGGGGGGAGTGGTTATTATTTTTATTTCATTCATCTTCTCTGCCCCAAATTAGTTGAAGACAAAATTGTCCTCATATTTCTCAGAGCCAACTTCCTAGAGCCAAACTTTTTAAAAAGACCACCAGTCATAAGTTATAAATTGAATAGAAAAATGGGAAAAATTGCATACCTTTGATATAAAACTCAATGAGAATGAGGAGTATAATAAACCCAAAAGCAATGCTATAATTATTATCATAGGAAGGCCCTCATCACTTGATATCAGACATTTGATGAACACATGACATGATTAAATTCAAAGAAATTAATTTCCCTTCAGCCAATATTTGTCAAGAATAAGCATTTAACTTCCCAATCCTCACCATGAAAGTGAAAGGAACACAGATAAGAATTTGTTTTCCTACTCTTTCTTCCTCCACTCTACCTAAGAACATTTATTACAAAGTTTGATATGTACAGTACAATTGCTAGATGCATTAAAATACCAAGTTATTGAATGATATTGAATTAGGTTTACCCAGAGTTGAAGGATTCAGTGTGAGAATTACTTTTAATATTAATTAGACCTGCTTCCTTAATTTTCTGGAGTGAAAACACAGCTATATGTTTGAGGCCTATAATTAATAAATTTTATTTACTTACCATAAGAAGAAAACATATACTCACACTGAATTGGTAAAATATCAAAAATATCTTTTCAAGTTCCAGATAATAGAATCAGATCAGAATATGTATTCTAACAGATGTATTTCCCATGGATTTAGAAACTGAAAAGCAATATTTTTGCTTAATTCACTAGCTGAATTTTTAAAAATTATTCTCAAATTAAGAAACTTGATTACTTTATAAAGACTTCTGAACTTTTGAATCTGCTTTATGATTTAAACAAAAGTTGAAGGTGCCAATATTAGTGTAAATTTCTTCTGTTTCTAATGCCTGGACACAAAGGATTTATAACTATATAGTTAATGTAAATATTAATATATTCTTGAAATTAACCTCTATCATTTCTTTAATGTTGAAAACAACTGTGAGTACTTACTGTGTTCCAGGCATTATACTAAGTGACTTGTGTATATCATTTTACTAACCCTCAGATACATACTCTTACAGAAACATGCTCTATGAAGGTATTATAAGTAAAAACTGAAATATTAGAAGAAAGAGAATGAATGGTAAAAAAGACTTGTGTAAGGTCTCTCAGATAGAAAGTAGCAAAGTCAGAATTTGAATCAGGTCTGTATGAATCCGAAGTCTGTCTTCCTATGTGCTCTATTGCTTGAGTCTTATTCCTTTTTGTTAATTATCATAGTCCTAGTAATTTATGTAGAAAGTCAAATTTTCTTCCAGGTTTTTATATTCTAAGATAGTGTATAGCATGTAATTTCCTAGTTCACAGAACCAGTGGTATTGAAGAAGGAGGAAGAGGAAAGGAAGAAGAATTAAGGAAACAAGTTGATTTTTCCAAACTTTTATCAAGATGATTGTATTTATCAGGATTATTTTCCTTGTAAGTGATAGAAACCCAGCTGAAACTCACTTGAGCAAAGATGATTTATTTGTGTAAGCAACTTAGCTAGTTCAGGCAAAGTGGGATTCAGGTACTCAAATGATGTTGTGAGGAAACTGACTCTCTGCACTTTTTGACTTTGGTAGGAAGGCTTTTCCCAAGAAATGGCAACAATGACCATAAGCAAATTGTTTCAGACTCACATACTACAAGCTTGGTAATATGCCAAAATATCTTAACCATGGGGAATGAGGATCAAGGGAAAGAAAGAAGAATAACTATTGGAGTAAACAATCTCTATCATGAAGTTGCTTGTAGTTTTACCAGTGTGGCACTAGGTATGACCAGTCTAAAAGTACTTTATTTTATTTATACTTAGGTAAGGGCTCCTCAGGCAGCACTAGTGGTAAAGAACTCACCTGCCAATGCAGGTAGACATAAAGAGACATGGGTTTAATCCTTGGTTTGGGAAGATCCCCTGGAGGAAGGCATGGCAACCTGCTCCAGTATTCTAGCCTGAGGAATCCCATGGACAGAGGAGACTGGCAGGCTATACAGTCCACAGGGTCACAAAGAGTTGGACACAACTGAGGACCTAGCACACATGCATGAACAATATAGGTATATGTTTGAAATATTCATTTCATTAAGTATGCTTCATTCCTTCTTTTATAAATTAAAAGTGGCAGTTGGAATCATTTCACATGAGTTTGACATAATCTCTTTGGTTAGTAAATACTGCAGAAAGTGAGATTTTTTTTTTCTCTCCAGTGAGATTTAGTTTTTTTATACATACTTTTTCCCCAAATAACCCACATTGCCTATATAGAAAACTAGAAAGGCCATGAGTCTTTGCCCTTTTCATTTCATAAATATCCAAGAAATGTAACATTTTCAGAAACAAACTTAAATCTGAACATTTAATTTAACACACATACAGTTCATCAGAAGCAATATTTTCAGGGTTGGCCTTGTTTTGTGCATGTGTTAAATAACATATTTATTTGTTGTTGTTGCTTAGTTGCTCAGTTGTGTTTGACTCCTTTGTGACCCTATAATACCTATTAATAGTGATTAATAAAATATTAGATTTTTATTAGAGAATTAAAAACTGCTTTCTCTCTCCTTAAAGCAAGTTCAGATTTCATGTTCAATAAGAGCTTTTAAAACCATATATACCTTAAGGCACATCTATATCCTCTGTATCTCCATAGACTGAATCTATTTGATTTGTATTAAATACAAATTTAGTTTTCCTTCAAGAGATAAATTCTGTATATATTCCTAGTTATAACATTTTTTTTGGCAATTCAAAATCAACATTTTACTGTAAGGATTTTCCAATTGTCAACCAAAAATATTTCTTTCTAATGTGGGCATCTATGGGTTCCAGAGCCTTTCTCTCTCTCTCTGCATGTTCCATGTGGGCTGAAGAATCTCTTATGAGTGTTTCTGGTTGAAATAAAGAAAATATTCAAAGGAAACTTTCAGTAGTGGGAAAAAGAACTTCTAACATAAATGTATGTCCTTATGCCCCAGGTAGCTGACAGTCTAGTGCTTTGGCAGCTGAACAGATCAGAGAGCTGGTACTGAGGCTTGCAATAACTTTACTCTTGGAAAAAAGTTAACATGAATTAACTACAACTTAGTTCAGTACACATGGGAGAGTTCAGCTCTCTGAAAAGGTGAAAATGTCAGGAGTTAGGATGCAGTTTGCAAGAGAGCCCAGGAATGCCTGATGAAAAGTGAATGGCTAAATCCCAGGCACACACGCAGGCCTCTCAGGTCTGCATCCATAAACACATTCCTTGGAAGTGGCAGGCAAGTTGCTTCCTAACACAAAGAAGGTGACTTTATCCATTTTCAGGAAAAGAAAACTTAGCCCAGGAAGATATTTCAGGAGACAATGGAATCAGTTATTAAACACAACATTTTGAGGTGCCACATCATTGGAAGCACAATTCTAATTGGTGCTCTGCTTGTGGCCCTGGAGTTCTTAGGCTGTGTTTGTTAATTAAATCCTGTAAGAGGCTGTATGTGGGAATACTTGGCATAGTAGAAGCAGGGATTGAAGGCCCAGGTTTGTTCTTGATCATTGAAAGTGGTCATCTGGGAGCCTCCTGACTTCACTCTCTTATCTCCCCACCTAGATAAGGAGGTCAGACCAGCACAGGACCCATCTAGTTTGAGATCCAGACTGTAGAACAGACAGGCCCAGAAAGCTCCTGCTGCTCTTTGTTTCCCTAGTGTACTCACTTAAGAACAAAAGACCCCTATATACTTCTCTGGATCTGGTTAAATAATAGTTTCACTTTTTTGGAAAAGTGGTCCCCCGTGGGCAATTACTTTGCGTGTCTTCGAGTTTCACAATTTAATGTAAAACAGTAAGTTTGTGTACCCCTCCTCCTCACTAGACTATTCTGAGCTCCTTTCCAATCAACCTCCAACCCCTTCTATCCCTACACCCCCACCGCCCCTCCCTGTCAGACTCTGAAGTGTCACTCACGGTGTTTTTTTGTTTTTTTTTTTTTTCCTCTATGCCTCCAACAGTTTCCAAAATAAACAGTGGAGGCTAGGAACAGCCGACCAGCGGTGTATTCACTGAGTCCGATGCAACACTATCTCCCAATCCGAGCGGCCTGAGCCGCCATTGGCGGCAGGTCTGCTCCCTAAAAGGGCTGTGCTTGCCAATCTCTGAGCTCTGACAAGTCCGGGAATCAGGGATTTGAGGACTGATGGTCTGCACATGTCTACTGGGAGGGAGGAGACCACAAAGGGGACTAGACTCCAGAGGACTCTAGCTCCAGTTTAATCTTCTTGCATTCTGTCTTTTCAAAGAACATTTATATGTATATATAAAAATTATACATTTTTTTCCTCCTGCATATTGATTTAGAAAAAAAAAATTCTTAGTTCTCAGTTTTTCTGATTTTCCCGCTTTCCCTCCTTTGCCTATCCTCTGCGCCCTCCCACCCTCTCCCTCCCTAACCCAGCTCAGGTTCAAACTTTGCAGAGTACAGTTTTCTTCAACCTCTCCAGGGATGGCTCTGAGCTCTCGGGCGCATGCCTTCTCGGTGGAAGCCTTGGTGGGGAGACCCAGCAAAAGAAAACTACGAGACCCTAGAGAAGAGGCGCAACCTGAGCTGCTCGAGAAAGAGGGTGGAGAGGAGGAGGAGAGAAGGAGAAGCGCCGCCGCAGGGAGGAAGAACGAGCTGCCTGGTAAGTATCCCTCCTGCTGCTGCTGCTGCTGCTGCTGCTGCTGCTGCTGCTGTGTCGCTTCAGTCGTGTCCGACTCTGTGCGACCCCATAGACGGCAGCCCACCAGGCTTCCCCGTCCCTGGGATTCTCCAGGCAAGAACCCCTACCGCAGCCCAAATCCCTGCGCCGCCGGCTACCCTAGTTTGCTGGGTCCGAAAGTCTCAGACTGGCGCCTCAAGGCTGTTTGAGGGCGGCTAGCCCTATCAAAGGATGTCTTAGCCCTATCACAGGATGTCTTGGCCCAGCTGTTGGCCGCGTTCAGGGCTGCGGGGATATCTCAGCCATCTGGCTGTAGGGCGAAGTTTCAGAGCCTCGTCACAGTATTGTGGTTCATTTGTGGTGAAGGGGAAATCCTGACAGATTTGTGAAGTGAGGCTCTCCAACCTCCTGGAAACCCTGAGAGCCAGAGGGTGGCTGTTTCTCAGAGTAAGAAGCCGGGCAAGGACCCAGATCCCCAGATGATTCAGCGTCAGGGACCAAAAGTCTCCGAAAGAGATGAGAACGGCATATTTGAAGAAGGGTCATGCATTTCACAGGGTACGACAGGGTCTTCTTCTCTCCATCAGGGGGGACACAGTGGGTATTGTGAAGAACTTGGAAATTAGTCGCCAAGGTTCCCAGGAAAGAGACTAGGCTGGTCTGTTCTGAGACAGGCATCAGTGAGAAGTGCGACTGTGAAGCTCTCTCAAAGTCTGGGTGTCTCTATTTCCCACAGAAAAGCGATCCAAAGCACAGCCTTTAGCAACTACTTTAGGCTGCAACAGCTTTGGAAGTCTGGAAGAGAAAGATATTATTCAAGTGGAACTTCAAGGATCTGAGCTGTGGAAGAGATTCCATGACATTGGGACTGAGATGATCATTACAAAGGCTGGCAGGTTTGGCTTTGCCCAAGTTGTTCAAGGGCTTTACATAGTAGGCACTTAATGTTCTGATCTCATAAAATGTGTGCTTCCAGTTTTATGCTCTTGTACCTCTCTCCCCATATCCACACCCCAGAAAAGTATTAGGAACCACTGTCTCTCAGTTGACCAGAGTAGGCCTTGCCTGGCCATTATTAGTGGCTCATCATTTCTTTCCTGTACACCGTGTTTTAAGAACTCATTCTCTCAGCTTCTGCCTGTGTAGTAAATGATACAAAGTAGACTTGCCAAGGCAGGTGCCAGATGCCACCCCCATATCTTAAGCTACAGTTGGGTTCTCTGTTAAAGCCTCACAGTTATTAGTGAACAATATCCCATCAAGCAGGCCCACTAAACTGAGCCCAAATCAATTTGAGGTTGGTCTTTCCCTCTTCCTGTGGGACAGTTTCCTCAATCACCTAGGTAATTTTTGTGTATGTGAATCTTCTTAATTTAAATCTTTCCCGAATCTGACTCACAGAAAGCACCTCTGATGGGAGGGGCACAGGTTTTTCTCTCCTATTTTTCTTCCATATGGTGGTGGTGGTGGAAAGTGGGGCAGGCGAAAGCCTTATGGTAAGAATATTCTACTCCACTCAGAAATCTTGAGTTTGTTCAATCAAATATATAAGCAGAAACCTTTCTTCATGCACCAAATGTCATTCCTGAACCTGTCTAGAATGAGAAGACTATTGCGAATGCCTTAGATTTTCATTTGTCCCCAACCTCTCCCCTGTTCTAAACATTTCTAATTGCACCCAGGTCAGTCACTGTTTTCTCTCCCACAGGCGGATGTTCCCCTCTGTTCGGGTCAAAGTGAAAGGACTGGACCCAGGGAAACAGTACTATGTGGCCATTGATGTGGTGCCAGTAGATTCCAAACGCTATAGGTAATTGGGACCAAAGGAGTGTACTACAGGCCTGGAATGGGTATTCAGATCTATGGAACCTGACAGCGCTATTTTGAAAACTCTATCATGGAAGGGGGAATTATTCTTCCGTGGGCTTTGAGACTTGAGTTTTCTCCCTCAGACTGGAGTTCAGGGAGTTCAGACTGAGAGAAAAGAAGACTTGTTTTTCTTTTCTCTCATTCCTGGCACACAGATTTCAATTGGGGCTTAAGTGTACCCCAAATCTCTCGCTAACCCTCTATCCTAGCCTTGAATCCACAAACTGCAGAGGGTGTGGGCTCAGCAACTGGGAAGGAAGTTGTTTAAAGGAACCTGGGGAGAAATGCTGGGGCTTCTGGGGCTCTACCGGGCTCTGGACTGTGCTATTTTAGGGCAGGGTCCTTGAGCAATATTCTAATTTGCCACCCAAAGCTAGTCAAGCAGTTATCTCACCTAGGTCCTTCCTTAGCCTCTTCCCTGAAGCAGAGGCCAGGTCCCAGAGAATACAAGTAATGTTTCTCTTAATGTAAGCTCTCTACTTAAAGCAGGCTAAAAGTGGCCACACTGATCTAAAGCTAAGAGGCTCTTTGCTAGCACCCTAGAAGCTGGGGTCTTTGCATGCTTTAACTCAAGGGTTTGAGGCGGCAGCCCCTGCCCTCACTCAGCCAAATGAGCATTTGACTGAAATGGGTGTCTAGCCTTTCTAGGAAACAGCCTGCATAGCGCCCAGTGCTGGGTGTGAGAGGCAAGAATTAGAATTCTTGGTCTGGAGAACCTGTTAGGACTGTAACCCCCAAATAGCAGAACAAGCTGTTTTTCACGCTTGAGCTGGTTTGGGAATTTGGCATATAACTAAGCCATTAAGATTGGAGACAATGGAGAAACAGACATAGAGAATAGACCTATGGACATGGGGGAGAGGATGATGGAGAGGGTGAGATGTATGGAGAGAGTAACATGAAAACTTACACTACCATATATAAAATAGATAGCCAATGGGAATTTGCTGTATGCCTCAGGGAACTCAAACAGGGGCTCTGTGACATCTAGAAGGGTGGGATGGGGAGGCTGATGGGAGGGAGGTTTTGGACGGAGGAACATGGGTGTACCTGTGGCTGATTCTTATTGATGTATGACAGAAAAACCACACAATTCTGTAAAGCAATTATCCTTCAATTAAAAAACATTAAGTGGAAAAAGAAAAAAGATTGGAGACAAAGGGAAAATCAAGACCACAGTGGGCAGAGTTCCTTGAGGGTATTCTGATATAAAGCACTGTGGCCAAAGGGGCTTCCACAACTGCTAGTGGCAGTGGGCCACACAGATACTTTCCTCACCCCTCTGCTTCTTCCCTGACACTTGTGGGACAGGAGGATTTTCCGGGTGTCTCTGCATGGTGAAACAAGTTAGATCAATTTTTGTTGCAGTTTCTGTGAGGAGATACAAACCAGATTATGAAATCCCATGACATTATACTTGCCCTAGCACTTTGCAGCATTTTAATGACATATGCTTATTTACAGTTTGCTTTCTATCCCTGGATGCTCTCTGGAAATCATGTTAAACCCAGAAGCTCAGTGGTAAAGAATCCCTCTGCAATTCTGGAGACAAGGGGATGCAGATTCCATCCCTGGGTTGGGAAGAGCCCCTGAAGAAGGAAATGACAACCCACTCCAATATTCTTGTCTGGAGAATCTCATGGACAGAGGAGTTTGATGGGCTACAGTCCATGGGGTCACAAAGAGTGATACACAGCTGAGCTACTGAGCACTCGCACTCACTTTGAGATTAGCAGGCAAAACTTGACCAAGTCCTTTAGAACCAGATCACAGCAGCCGGTACCCTTGGCTTTGGCTGGTGCCTAAAGTCACACTCCACTCATTTTCAGGTACATCTATCACAGCTCCCAGTGGATGATAGCCGGGAATACAGACCACTCATGCATCACTCCTAGGGTCTATATTCACCCAGACTCACCTTGTTCAGGAGAGACATGGATGCGCCAGATCATCAGCTTTGATCGTGTGAAACTCACCAACAATGAGATGGATGACAAAGGTCATGTAAGTGTGCACAATCCTTTGTCCCAAGGAGAAGAGGAGGATGTCAAGGCGTCAGCAGGAGGTTCACCCTGGAAAGGCAAAGAAGGTGTCCCCCAGATATGCTAGTTGTGGTCTTCAGGAATTGTCCAAGTTCTGGGCCGGTGACCAAAGTAGCTCTTGTGACTTTTGTTTGGCATCTGAGAATGCCAGGGGTTGGAGATGGTGAGTAAGAGAAGTTTGAGGACTGAATGTGACTTGTTTAAACCAGGATGTCTGGTTGGGAGAGGGAAAGGGAATGCTTACCTGAGCAATCTGTCACTTCATCTTTCCTGGCAATCACTGTGGGCTCTGATTTCCTTCCCCTGAGGTGCACCTTCTGTATGGTGGAAGTCTTCTCCACAACCCACCAGCATGGAAGGCCTTTCACGTCACATAGACCTTGAACCTTCTTCCCAAGTGCACATCACCTCTGCCCTGCCTGACCCGACCCTGTGCTAACCACAAAAGGAAGAAGGATTCTTCTTGGTTTAGGAGGAGGGGAGGGTCAAATAGTTTCCCATCAGTTAACTAAGCCCAGGAAACTTATGGCAGGCAGTTGGATCTCAATGACACTTGGGAACATTACATGGTCACCCACATTTGGAAGCAGGAAAATACCCCAACTGGAAATGGAACCACTGCTAACTGGTGCCACTGTGGTGTCCATTTCCTGAAACCCCTTATGCCTGAGGACCTCTGTCTAGTGCCAAATGGCACAGAAAAGTGGGGTTAGCCTAGGCTTTCTGATTTAGCTTCACTTTTGTGTGGGAAGGTCCAGGGTGCTGATGAGAAGGGGGCCAGTGTAGGGGAGGGGAAGCCAATTACCAGGCAGCATTTGATTATTTCTCCTCCAGATCATTCTGCAGTCCATGCACAAGTACAAGCCCCGTGTGCACGTGATGAAGCAAGACAGCAGGGTTGACATGTCCCGGATTCAGTCTCTGCCTGCTGAAGGGGTTAAAACATTCTCCTTTAAAGAAACTGAATTCACCACTGTGACAGCTTACCAAAACCAGCAGGTAAAGCCAACTAGGTCTCAGGCAAGCAGGGATGGCTCTGGAGAAGCTTTGGGGACAGAGTCAAGTTGTACTATATGGATTCAATTTTCCACAATTAAAAAGAAATCCATTAAAAAGAATCCATAGTCTTATTGCTAGTAATCAAGGCAAGTTTGATTATGAGTTGTGTGGGTCTTGTATTAAAGGAGAGCAGGACAAAGACTACCAGGAGAGAAAGGCAATAAACATTCCAAATTTGACTTAGCAATATGCTTAATGTTTATTTAACATGCTATATTACACTTTGGAAAGTTTGTAGTTGTTGTAACTATTAAAAGCAACAACGACAATGACAGTGTTTTCTACTGAGGTCACTGACTTTATCTTTCTTTTTCTTCTGAATCCTTAGATTACCAAACTGAAAATAGACAGGAATCCTTTTGCTAAAGGATTTAGAGATCCTGGAAGAAGCAGGTAAGCAATATAACAGTCACATCTAATGTTTATTAGCCCTTTTCACAAGTACTACAGCTAAAGAAACTGTGGCTCAGAAGCCCAGAGTCCCTGCATTTTGTAACTGGTAGGTAGTAAGAAAGAAACCTAGATATTTTATCTCTAAAACCTTGCCTCCTCCAAACCCCTCCCCAAACCACTTTTAAGATGTTATTTATTCTATATTCTTGGGCTTTTATTTAAGAATAATCACTGGGAATTTTATTCACTCTTAAAAACTATAACAAAATAACTCAAAAGTTTACATAAATTATTATTTCCAGTAATTGCATTCTCGACTTGCTAAAGGTTGTACATCTTTTTCAGGGGTGTACTGGATGGACTTTTAGAGACCTACCCATGGAGGCCTTCTCTCACTTTGGATTTTAAAACTTTTAGTGCAGACACGCAAAGTAAGATGTTTTATTAATTTTGATTTTTAAATGTTAATGAAATAATGACCATCAGAAGCTCTGTATAAATGCTACACAGGATTATAAGTACATGCTAGAAATTGTGTGTTTACAATCAAGTGAGCGTATATTTACCTTGATGGGAAGGTAAGAAGCAAAAAGGCAGGGAAACTGGCAAGATGGAAAAGAACATAAACATGATAATTAATGATGGATTTACTGACTTGTATCTTCTTGAGTTATCATACATCCTGAGAGTTGTAGAAATCACCTGGGTCTTTCAGCAGCTCACGATCTCGTATTCTTTTATTTTCTTTCTTTCTTTCTTTCTTTCTTTCTTTCTTTCTTTCTTTCTTTCTTTCTTTCTTTCTTTCTTTCTTTCTTCTTTCTTTCTTTTTTTCTATCNTTTATTTTTATTAGTTGGAGGCTAATTACTTTACATCATTACAGTAGTTTTTGTCATACATTGAAATGAATTAGCCATGGATTTACATGTATTCCCCATCCCGGTCCCCCCTCCCACCTCCCTCTCCACCCGATCCCTCTGGGTCTTCCCAGTGCACCAGGCCCGAGCACTTGTCTCATGCACCCAACCTGGGCTGGTGATCTGTTTCACCCTAGATAATATACATGTTTCAATGCTGTTCTCTTGAAACATCCCACCCCCACCATATTTTTAAAATCTGCCAGTGGTACACTGAAGTGAAGTGAAGTGAAAGTCTCTCAGTCGTGTCTGACTCTTTGCAACCCCATGTACTATACAGTCCATGGAATTCTCCAGGCCAGAATACTGGAGTGAGTAGCCTTTCCCTTCTCCAGGGGATCTTCCTAACCCAGGGATCGAACCCAAGTCTCCTGCATTGCAGGCAGATTCTTTACCACAGTCCAAGTATATAGGCGTGGGTAGCCAATCCCTTCTCAGTGGATCTTCCTGACCCAGGAATCAAACCGGGGTCTCCTGCATTGTAGGCAGATTCTTTGCCAACTTTACTATCAGGGAAGCCCTGGGGTGCACTAGTGGCCTTATTTTCAAATATATTAGATATTAAAATAAATATTTTATATTTTATGAAACACTTTCAGCACATGATAAAAATGACTTCCATTAAATTTCATCATCACTTGCCTTCAATTTTCCTTTTATTGTGAGTAGGAAAAATAAATGCCAAAAACAATACTAAGCTATTCCAATTTGCTTAATTGCCATAAGCATTTAAAATAGCTGCAGAGCATTTGTTGTCAGGTAGTACATCACATGACTAAATAATAATTTGACAATTCAGACTTTCTGGTAGAAGAATGCATACCTTCATTTACTATGATATTCAATTATAAATAGAAAAGTCTTTATTCGTGAGCAATATGGAATTATTTTACCCTTTTGTCTTCACTCCATTAAAGTTGTTTGTCTTTATACATTAATTGAAAGTTACAGTTGCATTATAGTTAGGTTGAATTTTGCATAAAAATATCATAACAACTAATTGAAATGTAAAAAAATAAAGTCTAATTATTTAGTGAAATATTTAACTGAATTGACTGCATTAATTTGGTTCAAGTTGCCTAGAAAAATATGAACACTTATTTGATAGTATCACTTTATAGCATCTAGGCAGAATGATTTTAAATTTTCCAAGTCAACACAAAACACATTAATTTGTAAAAAGCTAAAGATGATCATTAATAACTTAAAATATATTTTTCTCAATTATTTAAGATGTCCAAAAAAAAAAAGATGTCCAGAATATTCTCAAATTACAAAGAAAAGGGGTACCCTTTTTGTAAAATAATATTTGGATGTTTAATTATAAAAGATATTTGCCACCCTATTGATATAGGATTAAGCTATGTTTACATATAAAAATGGGCTTCTGTGGTGGCTCAGCAATAAAGAGTCCCCCTGCAATGCAGGAGACATGGTTCAATCCCTGGGTCTTGAAGATCCCCTAGAAAAGAAAATGGCAATCCACTCCAGTGTTCTTGCCTGAAAAATCTCATGAACAGAGGGGACTGGTGGGTTACAGTCCATTGGGTTGAAAAGAGTCGGACATGACTTAGCAACTGAACAACAAATAGTATTTTTAAATAATTAAGAACAATTGCAGGCAGATTCCTTACCAGCTGAGCTACCAGAGAAACCCTCAGAAAATTAGTAGCACCTAAAAAACTCCACAAAAACTTGATCAAGCTCAGTCAATAACCAATTTTTAATTAAGTAATTACAAGTATAACGTGTAGAATCTAGATTTTCCTAGACATTATATTTATCCCTGATTTTAGTAGATGCTAGGCAACCATAAAGGATCACCTAACAACACTGGTATGAACAGTTTCATTTTCATCTTGGTATTTTTAACCTGTAAAACTGTCTTTAACTCTTGATATTGTGCACCATGGAACTTTACCCATCTGTGATTTTCACATAGAGAAAACTTAATATATTAAATGTTCTTTTTTTTTTTTAATTTATAAGATTACTTTCATATGCAGTGATTTTTTAATCAACTAAAGCTTTCTATAGAATCTCAACCAACTTGTTTGATTTAATCAAGTACTTATTTTAGTAATTTTTTAAAGTTAAAAATAAAAACTTTTATTTGTAAGATATAATTGGTTCTGGATCATATTTAATTAGGCTTCTTTTGTAATTCATTGAATGAATTTTGCTCAAGTACCTGGTATAGTTCTAGAGCATAATGAATGCTCAATGCATGATACATGATAGTAATGCTAAAAGTAGTAGTGGTAGTAATAGAGATACCATATTCAACTTTGATCATAGAAATGGTTTTTTCCAAAGGAGTCAAAATAACTGTGGCTTCCATGGTGGCTCAGTGGTAAAGAATCTGTCTGACAAACAGGAGACACAGGTTAGTTCTCGGGATTGGGAAGATACCCTGGAGAAGGAAATGGCAACCCATGCCAGTATTCTTGCTGGGAAATTTCGAGGGCAGAAGAGCCTGGAGGACTACAGTGCATGGGTTCTCAAAAGAGTTGGACATAACTTAGTGACTAAACAGCAACAGCAAAATAACTCTGAACTTGCAAGGAAAGCTAATCTAAGAATGAAGCAGGGATAGTTATGGACATGACTACTGATTCAGTAGGAACATATAGTTCATTGTTCATTGATTGACTTATCATTCACAGGTGGAAGCAGCGGCTCATCCCCAGTGACCTCTAGTGGAGGGGCTCCTTCTCCTTTGAAATCTTTGCTTTCTCCACCTTTCTCCCCTTCCACATTTCATATACCTACAAGCTCCTTTGGAATGCCCTGTCCAGAGGTGTACCTACACAATATCAACCTGCCCCTTTGCTACAAGATTTGCCCAACTAATTTTTGGCAACAGCAGCGTCTTGTCTTGCCTGCTCTTGAAAGTCTAGCAAGCAACAACAGTTCTCAGTCTTCAGCCCCACTCATGATGGAAGTTCCCATGTTATCTTCTTTGGGAGTCACCAATTCAAAAAATGGTTCATCTGAAGACTTAAATGGACAGTGTCTACAAGCACCTAATTCTTCCAATCAAGTGTATGAATTACAGGCACTTGAAAATATTTTATCATCAAACCCCATTGTTCAGAAAGCAATTGGTTGTTCTTTCCATCCTTCCTATGGCTTTTATAGGTACAACTTCTCCACACCACCTGGACTGGTAAATGCTGCCAGCCATCTTAAAGTGAATGACAACAGTCAAGTTTCTTTCATAGAAGGCAAATACAGTCACACTCATTGGCATCCAATAATTAACCATTGCCTTTAATGGAATAGTCATGTTCCTAAAATGATTGCATGTAAGCATATATTTTCTTTATATGTCACCAAAAATGGTAAAAAACTAAAGGGCTTAAAAAGCTTCATTATCAGAGGGTATTCCTCTCTCCTGCATTTAAAGTGCCTTATGACATGTCATAAGTCAGATATGACCTATATCAATCTCTGATTACAGTAGCCTTAGGTCTCAAAGTAAGATACTCAATAAATATTGTTTGATGAGATAAGATTACTAGTGAAAAATGACTTCAGGTAACAAAGTCCCTAATTATAGTGAAGCCTGTTTACCACATCAGCTGCCTCTTACATATTGACAATGACCAAAAGAAGATAGATTTAATTCTTGTGAAAGCAGTGAAACAATTTCAATTTTACCTATGAATATTGGTGTCATTTTAATTATCTATCTCGTAACTGTAGAACATTTAATTGTTCATTTGCCTTATACTTTTATACTCTGCTGTTGAAGGGACTACTAGCCTCAATTTTAAGATACAAATAAGGACATTAACATTCTAATACTAATATTTGCAGCCTAAGGACCATTTAATCCTGAAAGAACATGAAGATTAAATCAAAAGCAAAATATTTCTAAATACATTTGATCTTTTATGCTCTTTTATTTTTTTAGATCATTCTCAGGTGATGTTCGTTTACTTAGTACTTTAGCAAACCTGACATTTTATGTATACAGTTTACAAATACAAATTGTTGTAGTCCTTCTAAAAGACTAAAAGTTATTCTTTGAATTGTGAGAATATAGTTGAATCCATAAGTATGAAACTAGCATTACAATGGTACAATTTAATTTCACTCTTCTGCATCAGTCATGGTAAAGTACACAAAGTAGCATAAATGAGACTTAATTTTAGTTTATGAAGTTGATAAGTTTCCTTTCACCTGGTCCTAAATTTTTTGGTGAGACTTGTTAAGTATAACCTTTATATCCTTAAGATGACTTGGATTTTAATTTTAATTTGGTGCTGCTAGCTCTACAATTTATTAAGCCAAGGCCCTTCACATCACAATGGTATGACTTGAAAAACTAATTACACTGAAAAGCTGCTTTTTAAAAACTTTTCCAACATATATTAGGGAGCATGCTCAGTCACTCAGTCGTGTCTGACTCTTTGTGACCCATGGACTAAAGCCCTCTGGGCTCTTCTGTCTATGGAATTTTTCATGCAAGAATACTATTGTAGGTTGCCATTTCCTTCTCGAGGGGATCTTTCCAGCCCAGGAATCAAACTCAAGTCTCCTGTGGCTTCTGCATTGGCAGACAGATTATTTACTGCTGAGCCACCTGGAAAGTCCCATATTAGGGAGAGCATGTCATTATTGGACTTTCCAGGTGGCACAGTGGTAAAGAATCTGCCTGCCAATGCAGGAGATGCAAGAGACTTGAGTTTGATTCTTAATTGAGGAAGATGCCCTGATGGAGCAAATGACAACCCATTTCAGTATTCTTGCCTAGAAAATTCCATGGACAAGGAGCCTGGTGAGCTGCAGTCCATGGAGTGGCAGAATCAGACACAACAAAGCACACACATGTGTCAACATTATTTATTTTGCTCAAAATAGTTTTTCTTCTCAAATGTACCTTATAAATATACCTTATTATACATGCATTAAAATTATATGCCCTTTCACTTCTGGGCATAGGGATAGAACAGCACATAGTTACATTCAAACTGAGTATTCTAGTCAAGATGAAAAATTGTTTACTGTCCAAGTTAATTAGGTACCTGTTATAAAAGTCTTTGAGGCAGAAAACCTATGCTACTCAAGTTTATCAAATCAAGGATTAAAGTAGCAAGCACACTATTCCTGTATACTCTTAAACAGGAAAGCTGTAGGCTAAATTTTACTGCTAAAATAATCATTTTTTTGAAAGCAGAAACTCCCACGTCAGATTATAATAAAATTTATTCTGATGACTTACATGGCAGATATTTAGCAACTAAAACCATAAAGTATTTGGCTGAAAAATCCAGAAAATCTCTGGGTTACTTTTTAATGGTCATTTAAGAAAAGGCATTAATTTTGTAGCTGCTCAAGTATATATACACCATACTTTATTTTTCAGATAATTTTTCTATGTATAATCCATATACAATTGCTAATACAAACTATATTGGGAAAGGTGATTTATATTAAGGGGAAAACATTTAAAGGCCAGAACCCAGACATCTATTTTAAGCTATTTTTATATAATATTCACAAATTGTAATTCAATACTTTTAATTGAAGAAGAAGCCAAGGGAAAATCTTTATAGAAAATTAGACTTGGAAGAGACCTTAAGAAGTTCAGTAAGCAGTCCTCTATTTTCTGAACAAGTGTCTCATCTGTGGGAAATTGCTATTATTTCTAATTCATGTACAATTAGTATTTAGTACCCTTACTATTTTATATTAAATAAATTCTTATTACCAAATGCTATGCTATTACCAAATAGAATGGTGCAAAACTTGAGTAGCTTGGTAAGTTGAGTCTAATGGTTTTGGAGTGAAAAACAGAATGCTATGAAATTATATTAATTTCAGCTGTGTCAACTGAATATTAGGTTTGCTTTTAAAACCTACAAAAATCAAAAGTCACTCTAGTTAGACAAAGTATGAAGTACCAAATGAAAGTGACCAAAAGATACATAATAGTCTCCCAAGGCTAATAATTAAAATTGCTATTTCCATTTGGTTTGACCATATATATACATCTAGGCTTCTCTGGTGGCTCAGTGGTAAAGAATTTGCCTGCAATGCAGAAACCACAGGAGATATAAGTTAGATCCCTGGGTTGGAAAGATCCCCTGGAAGAGGGCATGGCAATCAACTCCAGGATTCTTGCCTGGAGAATCCCATGGGCAGAGGAGCTTGGCGGGCTACAGTCCATAGGGTTGCAAAGAGTCAGACACTACTGAAGTGACTTAGCATGCATGCATACATACAGCTACTTCATCCCATTTAAAAAAAAAGCATTTTAATTCAGTTATCAGAAGCAGTTTAATTCAGTTATTTAATTTGGTTATCTAGATAAAAATCTGATTATATAACCAAAATAAATCTAGAGAAAATAAACTTTCATTTACTTATAAGTAAATTGTACATTGAATCAGGAAATAAGTGAATGTTGCTTTATCTTTGCAACTTAGCTTATTCAAGCTAAGACCTGGTGTCAGGAAGTATTTATACTTTGTGGAACAGTCAGTCAAATTGAAATCAAGGGCTTGAGTTCAAATTTGAGCCTGTTTGCAGAACATATGTCTAAATGGATAAATCCTATATTCATTACATTTTAATCACCAAAGTATAAGTTTAGGTAACAAACTTAAAGCATCAAAACTTTTTTTTTTTTTTAAGGAAAAAGAGCAAGTTTGCCCTCTGGACATTATATTTTATATTTTAAAGTCTAATACATAATTTTAGATTATATAATATTAGAGTCTTCAAACATTAATATAATTACTCCTATTTGTTATATTATAAACATAGTTGTATTTTCTTCAAGCTATGCATTTAGATGTTCATGATATTTCACTGCTATTAGGCAGTCTAGGAGTAGACATGATTTTTTCTTTGTGAGTTTGAATTGAGTCTATGGCACACAATAAATGAAAAATTAGAATCAGCAAGTGATGAATCAGTGAATCTGTCTTTGGATGGCCAGAGTTCTAAGCACTGACAACTTGAAAAAGTGCCAACAATGAATAAAGACAAGCTTCTTTATTGGATATTATGGAAGATTTCCCTTTAATTATCCTAATTATTTATAGTATGCACCTTGAAGAAAATCACAGTGCACATAAAGCTGACATTATTTATCTTTCAACTGTTACTGATGCAATGGTAAGCCAGAATATGATTGAAATAAATTCATACAAATATTTTAAATATATTTTACAAAATTCCACAAACATTGTGATGACAAATCTAGATGCTTTGAAACAATAGTATTATATGTCCATGTATACAGTAGGGTAATATACAGGTATCACTGTTTTAAATCTCAATAGCAAATCTTTTCCTTATTTGAAGATGCAATTTGCTAAGTTCCAGATGTCTCACTGTAATTCATATAACCAGTGGGGTTTTAGTTTCATTTTGTTTTAAAATAATTTATACTATGTTGCTTTTTCTCCCCCTTCTTCTCAAAAAAAAAAAAAAGGATGCTACAAAGAACATCTAATCATTGCATTCTTATACTATTAAATATGTATTCTTATTTGGAAAGACAGATTTAAATATACTTAGAAAAGTCTAATTGCATGTACTGCATTTTGTGAATTGAATCGATAGGGTGAATTGAATTGGAGTAAAAACATTTTATGGAAGTACAATGTTTTTACTCCAATTTAGAGATATGTTGCCTTTGTGCTGAAAAATCTTTATTTAGCCAAAATAACAATAGTATCCTGGCATACAGCAGCAGTTTACTAGTCAATTTCACTGGAATTTAACATGTTTATTGGAGCAATTTAAAACAAACCAAATGAATAGCTTAGCCATCAGTGACTGTTGCTTTGATATAGGTGCTTTAATATACATTTACTCTTCTTAGGTTCGGTCTGCAATTAAATGATAATTTGTAATAAAATTGTGTAAATAAACATGGTTTGAATGTCAACATAGAGCAAATAAATATGCAGAATGCTTGAAACATATCCAGTATTAAGACTATTTACATGTGTGATGCTGGCCAACTTTTGACATGCTGTTTCAATAAAATATTGAGAGGAAAAAGACTATGTCATTTCCTTTCAAAGTTTCATATGTTCGTGTTTACGAATTTGTACAGCACATTGATATGTAAACATACATTATAGTGAGCAGATGTTCAAAGAATAGTAATAGGATATTTCTACTTAGTTGAAATGTACACATGTATACTGATTTATTTTTTCAAAGTACCTGAAAGAGTTACAAGATTTGAAATTAAGCATAATAGAAAACCTTTAAATTATAGTGCAAATTGCATCATTAAAGTCTTTTATC